GGGGTGACAGCAAAATGGCCCGGCAAACTACAATATTCATACACTCATTCTCGTTGATTTGGATAGTGACGTGTCGAAGAGGCTGTGCATCTCCGTGAAAGACCCCATTACTCTTCTTTTCAAGAGAGAGAATGGAGAGGATGAGAAGTTTGAAAATGATGAGTGCATTTTGCGTGATAACATATCAGACAACGTGAACTCTGTGCTTCTGGTTGACCTACAGGACCACTGGATTGCCGGGCACACTTCGGCCCTTCTGGTGGGAGGCGCAAAAGACCGTGGCGAGGACTCTGTGCAGTTTGCGAGACAGTTTCTTACTCAATGCCTAGAGAAGGTGGAAAAGAATGCAAAGGAAAAGCTTATTGAATTTGATATTACTGTTACATTTGGTTTGGTAGAGTCCACCGACCGCATTCGGGATCTTCTTAATCCTGAGAATGCGACGTACGAGAAAATGCAACTTGGCTCAAGCCCTGTATTCGGTCCCTGTCTCTGCGGTATGAAAAGCAGGAATGTTAAATCCTTGAAGGAGTGTGTTGATGTATTTGACGAGGCTCTTGGACGCAGTGATGAAAAGAAGCAGCTGGTGGTCGGTTTCTTTGTTCTTAAGCAGCTCAAAAAGAGCAGCGAGGAGAACGATGTTTACCTTTCATCGCTTTGCATGGGACTCGCAAGGGAGAAGATTTCGCATTTCAATGAGCTGAGGGAAGTGAGTACATCCGACCTCAGCACGTTGTTCCGCTACGCCATTGGTGGTGCTAGTGTCACCGTGACCACGTTGCTCTTGTCGGAGCGAGACCCCAATTCCCGCGGCTGCCTGGAGTTGGGCCGTAAGATGCGAGAGATTAAAAATAACCCGCCCCGTATTGGCAACCTTAGGCGTTGCTTGGAAAAGACCAAGAAAGAGATTGGCCGACAGAGGGAAAATATGAATCAAATGGGTGACGCAGAGAAGAAATTGACGGAGCGCATCGTGGCACGCATGGAGACCATACTGAAAGATTCGGAGGAGATGTTGTCAAACCCGGATAGCACCAATTTAAAATTTTACTCCATGGGCGGATAGATATGAGAATCGCAGGGAAAGGATATGAAACCCGATACGAAATGGAAAAGTAACCAACAATTTTGAATTAAGTTCTATGAGGAGCATCATTGTAAAATGTGTATGGACAGTAGGGGTGAATATGATGTTTGTAATGATGTTGTTTGGCTTATTTTTATTTTTATTTTTTTGCTTTTTATTTGTTTTTTATGAATGTTCTTGTTTTATTTACTGTCATTGATATTTATTTATTTATTTATTTATTTATTTATTTATTTATTTATATTGACTTTCATTTTTTTTTTTTTTTCCCTTCCCCCCCCCTAAGTTCCATAGATTCTTTAACCTCTCTCGATACGCGTGAATTCTTCCCGTCAAGGGCTCCGCTCAAGTCAAATCCGCGTTTCTTTTTTTTTTTTTTTTCTTCTTCTTCTTTTCTTTTCTTTGCATACGTTTTATTGCCTTTTTTGTTTTGTTATTTTTTCTCCGTTGTTTTTTTTTTTTTGTTGTTGTTGTTGCTGTTGGGCTTCGCAGAGCGTATGCCTCTACCCCAACACATGCGTGCATGTATGTGTGTGTGGGTTTGTGTGGGTTTGGATATGAAGGCCCATCGAGGCATAAATACGTCGGGGAGAAGTGATGGCGTGTTCCCTGTCATGACTGAAGGGGCGGAGAGTGTTAAATAAACGAGAGAAGAAAATTAAAAAAAGAGGAGCGGGCCTTGGGTGTGAGTACGTGCGCCTCTGCCTGCATTACGTGGAGCGGTGATATTCGGCAGGAGGTGAAGGAGTTGGGGATATATATATTGTGGGTGGTAATGAGAACCCTGTGTGTGTGTGTGTGTGTTTGTGCGTGAGGGCGATGCCACGGGACCAATTCGTTTGGCTCTTTTTGGCTGTATTTTTTATCTTTTTTTTTCTTGGTTTATATATATATATATATATATATATATTATTTTATGGTCTCCACATGCCAGAATAAACCGACATTCACATGCAGTTTATTTGAGAAGGTAATAAAGTCTTGTGTGCATAGTTTGAGGAGAGCACTTAACTGTCTTATTATTAGTATTATTGTTGTCTTTGTTGTTGCGTGGTCATCATTGTGCATTTCATCCATCAAATGAGGGGAGCGGGGGAAGGGATTCTGTGTGTGTGTGTGTGTGTGTGTGTGTGTGTGTGTGTGTGTGTGTGTGTGTGTGTGTGTGTGTGTCAAGAAACGTAAGTATGGGTTTCAATGGCTACCCCAAAGGGAATCTGAAGTATATATACACATATGCATGCGCCTAGTTGTTTATGCCTTGTATTTGCGATGTGTGTATGAATGGAAGGATGATCAAAGAGAGAGAGAGAGAGAGGGAGAGAAGAAAAAGAAAAAACAGAAACAAAAACAGTAGGTGGCACCACTGTTACTTTTTAAGAGGGAAAAAAGAATGAAATGTATGTACATGTGTGTCAGTATGTAGATGCGCACAGCATGCGGTTTGGCATTCGTCTTTTTTTCCTTTGGAAAAGGGAAATGACTTGTATTTTTGACCTCTTTTTTTTTTTTTGTGTGTGTGGGTTAAAACCACCACCACCATCGGCGCCAGAACGATCGACTGTCTTCCTGTCCATTTCGGTTTTTTTTTTTTTTTTCTTTGGGTGAGGGAAGGTGGGGGTTATCATTTATTTTTTTTTCTCTCTTTCTGTGTTTGTCTGTCATATTCCGTGCCATTATTATTGTTTATTTTTGCTTGGTTCCGAAAGGTGGGTGGGTCGCTGCCATCGCTCGGGGTTTTCCGAATCCGGTTGTCACCGTCATTTTGTTTTGTTTGTTGCTTTTATTGGTTGTCGTTTTTCTTTTTTTTTTTTTTTTCTGCTTGTGATTTCCCACAAAAGTGAAGATAAATTGCTGCCTCGGAGCAAAATTAGCGTCAGACCCTCTATGCATTCCTCCGCCGTGCCTCGATCCTCCGCGTGGCCCATGAATGGCCCGTATGGAGGCCGTGGCCCTATGCCGCCAGGCGGTGCCCCGGGATACGGAATGTATAACCAAACGGGACCCTTTCAGATGGTTAATGGAGCAGTTCCTCCGCGCAATGCGTTAATGAAACGAGGCCCTCCCGGGGCCGGAATGCAACCACCTTCACCATGGTCCGCTGAGGGGAGTCTGTACGGGAGGAGGGGTTCAAACACAGGGTCTCTGCGAAACAGTGCCAATGGCGGAAGTGCTTACAATGGAATGAGTGGGCCAACTGGAGGCAGTTTTTATAAAGAAATGGGTCCTCGTACTGGATCTATGCGTGGCAACGCTTACGAAATGCAAAATATGGGGTTAGGTGGCCCGATGGGAAGTGGGTATGGCAATTTTCCTCCCACACAAAGGACGAGCAGTGGCATGGGAGGTTCCATGTATGGTATGGGCGGCCCTATGGGCATGGGAGGTTCCATGTATGGTATGGGCGGTCCTATGGGCATGGGAGGTTCCATGTATGGTATGGGCGTTCCTATGGGTATGGGAGGCTCCATGTATGGTATGGGCGGTCCTATGGGCATGGGAGGTTCCATGTATGGTATGGGCATTCCTATGGGTATGGGAGGCTCCATGTATGGTATGGGCGGTCCTATGGGCATGGGAGGTTCCATGTATGGTATGGGCGGTCCTATGGGCATGGGAGGTTCCATGTATGGTATGGGCGGTCCTATGGGCATGGGAGGCTCCAAGTATGGTAGTGTCGTGGATGCTGCATCTCGTCGCGATGGCTTTCTCGCACGCAATGAACTTATTCGGGCCAACATCGCTCCAGTAAAACACTCAAATAATAACGAAGAAAAAAATAATGAAAAAGCCCCGTCACCCGTTCCCAAGAAGTATGAAAAAGCAATATCACCCGTTCCCAAGAAGGATGAAAAAGCAATATCACCCGTTCCCAAGAAGGATGAAAAGGCCCCGACACCTGCTCTCAAGAAGGATGAAAAAGTAATATCACCTGCTCTCAAGAAGGATGAAAAGGCCCCGACACATGCTCCCAAGAAGGATGAAAAAGTAATATCACCTGCTCTCAAGAAGGATGAAAAGGCCCCGACACATGCTCCCAAGAAGGACGAAAAAGCTCCGACACCTGCTCCCAATAAGGACGAAAAGGTCACCGTTGCCGACTCCGGGAGTTCTAACACCACCAACTTGGCATCCAAGAATGACAAACCCGAAACGGCGGTAGCCAATAATGCTGCTAGTGAAGAAAAGGCAGCCCCCAAGTCTCTGGTTTCTACTTCTCTGCACAGCACGGAGAATTCAGCCGATAAGAAGGAGGGGAGCGCAGAAAAGCCTGCGACGAAGGAGGATAAGAAGAAAGAAGAGAGCAAAAAGGAGACGCTGAAGCCCCCAACGGGCACCAACATCCGTGGTGTTGTGGTGATTGTAAAAACGGCTGCAAGCGCTTCTTCTGCCGCTGTGACAATGAAAAATGCTACAACTGTGATAACTTCGGGCAAAGATGAATTCTCTTTTGACGAAGTTATAACCCACACAGATCCATCAAAAACCATGGAATCTGTCATGCTTGAAGATCTCCGCTGCCACTGGTTGGCGGGTCACAACTCCAGCCTGCTCATTGGAACGACGAAAGGGGAAATGAAGGATGCTTTCAACTTAGGGACCCAATTTATTACAAATACATTGTCGGTGTTAGAGAAGGAGGGCTGTAAGTTTGATGTGAGTGTGACCATGGTGGCGGTGAAGGGCGGTAGTGAAGTCAAGGACCTTTTCAAATCATCAGGTGCCGCGTACGAAAATATTCAATTGGCCTCCTCTCCCGTTTTTGGTCCGGCACTGAGGGGTATGACCAGCAAAAAGCTCACCAAGTCCAGCGAGTGTGTGAAGTTGCTTGAAGATGGATTGGGGAAGCATGATAAGGAAAAGGAGCTTCTTGTGGCATTCCTCGTCTTGAAGCAAATGAAGAAGAGCAGTACGGGCGATGATACGGTCTATCTTTCCACCTTGTGTCTTGTCGTTGCGGGGGAGGAGGTCTCACACCTCACGGGAATAAAGGAAAAGAAGGCCTCCGAGCCGTGGACATTGTTACGCTATGCCGTTGGTGGGGCCAGCAACACCGTCTGCCTGCTTGCCGTGTCTGCGGAGGGGAAAAAGTCGTCAAACGTCAATGCGGTCCTGGAGGTGGGGAAAACCATGCGAGAGGTGAGGAACGGCATCCCACGCAGCGGTAATCTTATGCATTTT